AGCATAAATACACTTCCTTTGTCTGATTTACTTTGCAGAGAATCACAGATGACGAGCTGTCGAGTCGCATCCAGAGGATGCTGGGTAATTATGAGGATGGATATGATGGACCTGAGGACGCTGCGCTTCCTTACGAGCGCTCCACGCAGTTCCCTCAGGCGCAGTCGGGACACACGGATCGCTCCAGAGCCACCTCCGGCCCTGCTTCAGGAGAGAGCTGGGACAGTTTCCCGGCCCTGTCCCCTCTGCGGTCCAGCGACTCGGACCCCGGCCCGTCTCCGGAGCGGCCTCCGCTGAACCTGCACAGTAAACTGGCCAAGGCCAAGAAACCCACAGCGTACGTGAGGCCGATGGACGGTCCGGATCAGGTGACCAGCAACTCTCCTGAACTGAAGGCCTCACTGGAGTCGTATGAGCACTTACAGGACCTGAAGGAAAGCAGCAAACCAAACCTTGCCCCTCTGCAGGCTGCTGATGTGAGTGTTGCAGTGAGAGCCAGACTAAGCCTGCGTGTGTTTCCGAGTGTTTTCAAAAGTTAATCAAGTAGTGATGGGAAGTTCGGATCATTTTACCGACTCGGACCTTTGAGTCTCATTCAGCAAAATGAACAAATCTTTTTTTCTCCAGTCATTTAATTCATTTTAGCTAAATATAATTAAAATGTTATGTGTTACTTCCCTAACACATCTACTACTTACATAATTTAGGGCTGCACGAAATTGGAAAAACCTCACATTGCAATATTTAGTTTTTCTGCCATATATATTGCGATATCAAAAAATAATCACCAGATGACTGGAATAGCTCTATTTGGAAAAAAAGAATCAGTGATTTTGTAGGTGAGTGAATCAGCATAGAAAATAAACAAATTACAAGCATAGATAAATATAACAGAACAAAGATACAAATTAAATAAACAGTGCTTTATATTTTTCAGGTAAGTCTAACCGTATTCAGGCACAGAAATTGAATAATCAAATGTAAAATAACACTGCATAGTCTTCACTGTATAAATTAAATTAATAAATCTGTGTTAAAGCTACAAAAGTGATTTTTCTCTGTGTTTTGATGTTTGATTAATGTTCATGACACAGAAAGCCTCAGGAACATTAAACTGCTGTAAACCAGTATACTGTTACACAGCCATTTTCTTTCTCACTTGTTTACCTTCACCTTAAACCAGAAGCAACGGTTACAAGATTCTTGCAGAGACATGCATTTTTACATACTTTTGCGCGTATGTGTCATTAATAGACGTGTAAGTGAACGGAATCTGTTAATCTGCGTGGCTCTCACCGTGTCTACACCAGACGCGAGCGGCGATGCAGCAAAATACTACAGAACTCATTATAGTCTGTGATGCTGTCTACTGATGCGATGCGACAAATCCCTGGCAGTAAACTGCTGCCGTGTTTTATTAATGACGAACTGACACAAAGTTCACATGATTTGCAGCAGTCGCTTTTCACGTCCAGTGTAGCAGACTGCGGCTAGACAGACTAGACACGGTGTCTGTGTGTTCAAAGAAAACAATCAGTATAAATATAACGATCAGTATACTAAACATCGCACATCCCACGATGTGACTATTGCAGATGCACATCGTGATAACGATGCTGAATAGTATCTGTGCAATCAAGTCGACGATATCGCTGGAAAATAAGTGTCCCTAACTAAGCAAGCCAGAGGCGACAGCGGTTGAAACTATATATTGTGCAGCCCTAACGCAAATATTGATCAAACTACAAACAAGACAAAACTATAATACAGAACTATACAGAAAGGATTTATTTGTTGTTTACCTTTAGTCTATGATTAGCTCACCTCACCTCTTATCTGACCAGTCTTCGGGTTTGAGTCGTTTGTTCATCACGTGACAGCCCCGTAAACAAAGCTGATGAACGAACGACTGGAAAAACCCAAAGACTTGAAACAGGTGAACTAATTCCAGTACAGAACCTATAGGATGTTGTGCATGTGTGACTGAACGAATCCCTCCCCGAGACGACTCTTTATTCCAGAGTCACATTAAAGATTCGTTCAAGAATGACCCATCACTATAATCAAGGCCACGTCTCACTCTCTCTCGTCTGCATGTGGAGGACATTCTGCAGGTCAGTTGAGTTTGGGACAATCTCGTTTGATTGGAAAGCCGCAGGAGTTCAGTGTCTCTCTCTCACACAGGAAATGACCTCATGGCCTCCACTGCTGACGACCATTTGCTCGCCAACCACAGCCGAGCCGCCCAAGGTCCTCTCCACTAACGAGGTTAGATCAGAGTAAAGGGTTTCGTTGGTTCTCACTGAAACACTAGCATTCAGACTTATTTTTGAGCTCATTCTTTTTTTGAACTTTAATGCTTGTAACTGTTTTGACAGGAGACACATGGAATACCGGCCCTCAGTAAGTGTGTGTGTGTGTGTCAAGTCAAGTCAAGTCACCTTTATTTATATAGCGCTTTTAACAATACAGATTGTGACAAAGCAACTGAACAGTATTAATTAGGAAAATAGTGTCAATAATGCAAAATGACAATAGTAAACACTCATTTTTCAGTTAAAGACAGTTCATCATTGAATTCAGTGATGTCAACATCCAGCTTAGTTCAGTTTAAATAATATCTTTGCAATCATGTCAACGATAACGCTGGAAATGAAGTGTCCCCAACTAAGCAAGCCAGAGGCGACAGCGGCAAGGAACCAAAACTCCATCAGTGACAGAATGGAGAAAAAACCTTAGGAGAAACCAGGCTCAGTCGGGGGGCCAGTTCTCCTCTGACCAGACGAACCAGCAGTACAGAAAAATCAATATAAAACATAATAAAACAGACGATGAATAATATGAACAGCAATTATTATATGATGCAATCAAACTTATAGCAAAATGTGGTAGTTCTGTATGTTGTTTCAGGGTTGGCATCATCTGAGGTCCTCTGAGGGGTTGCATCATCTCTTCTCAGGTGTTCTGGATCCAGACTGAAGCTTGTGTAAATCCTAGTTACCACGGGATGTTAATCCCGTGGCAAAAGACAGAGAAACAAATACAAACATAATTAGCGTAGCTGCTGTTCCAACCAAGCAAAAATGATTTGTTTAACCCAAACTAACGAATAATAATGTGCATTTGATTAGATATAACTGCAGTAAAAGATTATGACTGCAGTAAAAGATTATGAGATGCATTATTTGAATGCTTGGCCAAAGAGATGTGTCTTTAATCTAGATTTAAACAGAGAGAGTGTGTCTGAACCCCGAACGGTATCAGGAAGGCTATTCCAGAGTTTGGGAGCCAAATGCGAAAAAGCTCTACCTCCTTTAGTGGACTTTGATATCCTAGGTACTACCAAAAGTCCAGAATTTTGCGACCTTAGGGAGCGTGATGGATTGTAGCGTGGTAGAAGACTAGTTAGGTACGCAGGAGCTAACCCATTAAGGGCCTTATAGGCAAGTAATAATATTTTGTAACTGATACAGAACTTAACAGGTAGCCAGTGCAGAGACTGTAAAATTGGGGTAATATGATCATATTTTCTTGACCTGGTAAGGACTCTAGCCGCTGCATTTTGGACTACCTGTAGCTTGTTTATTGAAGATGCAGGACAACCACCTAGAAGTGCATTACAATAGTCCAGTCTAGAGGTCATGAATGCATGAACTAGCTTTTCTGCATCAGAAACAGGTAACATGTTTCGTAACTTGGCAATGTTTCTAAGATGGAAGAATGCCGTTTTTGTAACATGGGAAATATGATTTTCAAAAGACAAGTTGCTATCTAATATAACACCCAGATTTTTGACTGTAGAGGAAGTAACCGTGCATCCGTCTAGTTGCAAATTGTAATCCACGAGATTCGGCGTACTGTCTTTTGGTCCAATAAGTAATATCTCTGTCTTATCCGAATTTAATAGGAGAAAATTATTGGTCATCCATTCTTTTACATTTTTAACACACTCCGTTAGCTTAGATAATTTAGAAGTTTCATCTGGTCTTGTTGAGATATATAGTTGAGTATCATCGGCATAACAGTGGAAACTAATCCCGTATTTCCTAATAATATTACCAAGTGGCAACATGTATATCGAAAATAGCAGAGGACCTAGGACAGATCCTTGTGGCACTCCATATTTTACTGGTGATAATTGAGATGACTCCCCATTTAAATGAACAAGGTGGTAGCGATCGGACAGGTAGGATCTAAACCATCTTAAAGCCTGCCCTTGAATACCTGTATAGTTTTGTAATCGATCTATCAGTATGTCATGATCTATAGTATCGAATACAGCACTAAGATCAAGTAAAACTAGCAATGAGACACAGCCTTGGTCTGACGCAAGAAGCAAGTCATTAGTAATTTTAACAAGTGCAGTTTCTGTGCTATGGTGGGGCCTGAAACCTGACTGAAATTCTTCATAGAGATAATTTTTTTGCAGGAAGGAGCAGAATCTGAGTGAGTATCAGATCTTTGTCTTGAGCTCATGTGAAGGTGCTACAAAAAGGTCAAGATGAAGATTTCTCCCCTCTCTCTTCAGCTAATGTTTTAACTTTACTCTCTGTGTGTGTGTGTGTGTGTGTGTAGAGGTGGTTCCAGCAGCTCCAGTGTCTCTGACAGCAGTTCAGACACTGACAGTGAAAAGAGCAGCAGCCCAGATGAACCAGCAGCTCCTGAGACATTACACACACAGGTACACAGGTACACACGCACGCACACACATGCACACACACACACATCCACACAGGCGGACACACACACACAAACACACACACACACACACACACACACACACAGGTACACACACACAGGTGCACATGCACACACACACACCAGTACACACACAGGTACACATGCGCACACACACATACACAGGTACACACACACATTGGTTAGAAAGGAAGGGAAACCAGCACCAGCAGAACCCTAGGAGCCCATGTGATGCCATCAGGCCCAACTCCCATGATTCCTCTGACAGGACTGAGGCTCCAGGGTCACAGACTTGCCACAGTGACCCAGCTGACGGCGGCAAAGCGTCCGATCTTAGACAGACTGTGGGGAGCACGAGCATGTGTGAGGATCCGCTGTTAGAAAGCACATCCACACACAGACCCAAACACAAGAGAAGGAAAACGGCACATCACACAGAGCAGAAGAGAACAACAGCAGACACCAACAACATCAGCAAACAAACACATTCGCCACTGCTGGTGAAGATCAAGCTGAAGCTGCTCTCCAGGATCCCACGGGAGCCCAAAGCAGCTCCGCCTCACACAGAGAACAGCAGAGCATCGAGACGCAAGAGAGCGGTGAGCACAGCTAACACCTGACCCCTGACCCTGACTCACTACTGCTGCAGAGTAACGAAGAGCTGCCATCGAACATTCCAGAATCACATGTTCACTCATTTTATTGTATGTGACATACTTTGGGGTGTGTGTGTGTGTGTGTGTGTGTGTGTGTGTGTGTGTTTGCAAATGAAGAGGGATGAAAAGTCTTCAAAGAAGAAACAGAAACTGGACAAAGAGAGAAATCAGTCTTCCTCTCAGCAGAGCCTCCACCAATCAGAGTGAGTCACAGAAACACACAGCCAATCAGAGCCTGACGTGTTTTACATACTTACTTTCCACATCTCAGTAATGAATTTAAACCAGGATCACTCAAGACTTTTTCCCATATTAATAGTATTGTATTATAATGAAATGTATTATAAAAGTTATAATAATGATGATGGTGATGGAATGTCTGGGGTTTTATGATGAATATCTTGACAACTACAGGTGTATCAACATGATTGTGCGAGCGTATGGGAAGCTCAAGGGTTCGGTTAGGTACAAGTAGAAATGGTGAGGGGAGTT